AATAACGTTCCTTGCTTAAACGGTTTGTAAGCTGTGCCCTTCGTCCAACATCTATGTTCCATACTCCACTTTTGTATTTTCACCAATTGTCTACTCGTAGCTTTTTATAGTTTATTTCATGAACTATTTTATACTCACAGTTCATAAAATAAATATTTGGGGAACCTGCCATATTTATGTTCTATTCCCTGTTTTGCATTTTCCCTGCATGGATATCCCCAAAACTATAAAAGGAAGAAGTATTAGAGAGAATTTATTTTCAATATCCACACTCTTCAAAGCCAGAAATTATAGGAGGGATGTATTAGTCCATCCTTGCACTGCCATCAAGAAATACCTGAGATTGGGTAATTTATAAAGAAAAGAGATTTGATTGGCTCATTGTTCTCCAGGCTGTGCAGGAAGTGTGGCTGGGGGAGGCCTCAGGAAACTTACAATCATGCTGGAAGGTGAAGGGGAAGCTGCCATGTCCTTCAGGGCTGGAGCAGAAAGAAGAGAGAGAAGGGGGAAGTGCCACACACTTTTAAACAACCAGATCTCCTGAGAACTCACTACTATCATGAGAACAGCAAGGGGGAAATATGCCCCCATGATCCAGTCACCTCCCCCAGGCCCCTCTTCCAACACTGGGGATCACACTTAGACATAAGATTTGGGTGGGGACACAAATCCAAACCATATCAAGGAATGTGCTCTGACTCCTCTGAATTATTCCTCTGATTTCTGGAAATTACTTTCTTGGAGGTTCTATCTGACATTGACTTTTGGAAAGGAGGTTAAAGAAACATTTACATGTCCCCCAAAATATCTTCTCGGTGGCTTTTCTATTGATTCATTTTGGCTCAGTTATGAGCTATTGTGTGAACTCTGTGCCCCCAAAGTGCCAGGTGCCAAGGGTACAAAGATGCAGAATATGTAGTTCCTGCTATCTAGAACATGATGGCATAGAGAATCAGAATTAAGGGAAAAGGCCAAGAGAACCAGCATCCACTGGCTGTGTGGCTGCAGAGAGATATTCTCCCAAGTGCTCTCATATGTGTTACCACCTATCAATTTCAGAGCTACCCTATGACCCTGGGCATCACTGTCCTGATCTTTGAGGCTCAGAGATACTAAGTATGTGTCCAAACCTCACAACTATGATGCTGTGAATTAGGATTCAAATCAAGATTTGATCCCTGCTTATTTTCCCTGTATTATACTCCTCCTTCCTCCAGTGCTGTTCAATGTCCTATAATGAAATCTTAGGAATGGCACTTCTGTCTTCACTGCTAACAGTGGTTGGAAGAACATGCTTTCTTAGAGTCTAAAAACTGACCAATTCTTGGAGGTGGTGAATCTCAACTCTCATATAAACCTTTTGGGAATAGAGTTCATCGAAAGCTTACTGTTTCTGAAGAAAAAATTTTATAATGATAACATGAACACATGTTGTGGCTTTTAGCAAAATATCTTTTAAAGGAGATTATGTGGAGCTCAAAAGAGCTTATTGAGCAAAAAATAGCTTTTTACAAGGTAACATTCAGAAGCATTTAAGAATCAGGAATTAAGGACATAGGTGGTTGAAAATATTTTTAATATGTTCCATAAATCTTATCACATCTGGATTTGTCTGGCATTATCAAGAGACTGTATTCAAGCCCAGTTTATCTAATAGATTTTGTCAAATTAAAGAACTCAGTCACATGCTGTAGAATTAACATTACAGCAACTGTCCCTAAATTCAGTAGGTGGACACTGATCTAGTACAGGGTTTCAAAGCATTCCTATAAGGCAACATTTGACTTGAATACAGATTCGTGAGTAATTTATGTTAGTAAGCACAAACCTAACATTCATTATTTAAACACACAGGAATAATTGTATGAATACAAGTACATAGCGTGATGGCCAGTTGGGCTATTACATGAATAATATATTTGTGAGCGTTTTGTTTTACTTGTCATTCAGGCCTGGGGTGCTGGTCCGCCTCTCTGGGTCCAGCCTGCATCTGGCACAGAGCCACAGCTGCCACAGAGTCAATGAAAAGGGTGTCAAGGCTGCAGGATGGAGCCTGTGTTTGTTTAAGAAGGAGGCTGATGACATCACGTTGGCCTCGTGCTCCTGAAGGCTCAGGAGACTGAGACGGTGCAGCCTCCTAGCCCAGTTACTGTAAACCTCGGCAGGGATTCTGTCTTCCGGTTGGGTTTCAAGGTTAACCAGGTTGGAACATTCAAGGGGAGACTTGGGACACTATAGATTTTTATGCTGCCCGAATTGGCTGATTAGCCCCATACGTGGAATTTGATTAATGTCTGAGAGCTCTAATTAGCAATGTCTAATCGGCTCTACATACACAGGATATTGATTCCTGCCTCCAGAAACCTAATCTAATTGCGGTCCTTATCATTAGCAAGTGGTTGGTGTACAGAAAGATGAACCTGCCTGGATACTGGAAAGGCAGCTTTGGAATAGGGTAGAGGGGTTTCTGGAGTTAGGTCCAGAGGCGACCTTCTGGAGG